CAGCAGCTGTGTCTACTTAGGGAGAGTGCTGCTGTGTACAGGGTGCTGGAGGCAGCTACAATATGGATAGGCAGCTGGATGGAAGGTTGGACAAAGTACAGAAAATGTATGGTTTGGAGGCATTTGATAAAGATATCCTCCTTCTGTTTAGTGGCCATCTTCATTTCAGTTTGCCTGCTGCTCAAGAGAGTTCCTCACCCCTCAGTCTCTAGATCAGCTATAACCTGCTGTTGGTACATGGTAGCCAGCAGGTGTTGGCAGAATTTCACTCTGTCCCAGGGTGGAGGTCTTATTCTGAACAAGCTGATGATCTTTTCACTTCTAATAAATGGAGCTACAGCAGTGGACTGTTACCAGTTCAGTGGGCTTTCTCTAGCTGGGGATGTTTCTACGCTCATTCCCAGCACAACAAAAGTTTACAGTGCCAGAGCAGAGACTACTGAGATGAACACAGCTGAAAGGGTGGTGAAGAGTGGCTCAGGCTCTCATTAGAGTAATTATTACTACTTCCTCATTTGAAAGGCCACTACTCCCCGTAGTGTGTGCACTGTCAGGTCGTGTCATAGTGACTGCTCTTAAAATGAGAAGTTAACATACCTGCATGCAGGTGTGGGTTGTGTTTGTTTCTTTGTGTGTGATACGGGTTGCAGGGTAGGATGTCTGCAATAAGAAGAAATTCAAGTGATGTTCTGCAAAAATACTTCAAATACTTGAAGGATAGGCAAGGGTAGCTACTGCCTTTACCTTTCCCCTGCCCATCCTGCTGTGAATTGAGCTGGTAATTTATTAGATTGCAGACGTCTGGGGATGTTGAGCATTCTCTTGCTTTTTTGCTCAAGCTGATTAGCTATTAGCTCAATACCTGATCATCAGCTCGAAGAATTGCTGCACAGATCATTGTTCTGGATCCCCTAAAACCTTTCAGCTGCTGCATGAATAGGATCAAAGATTCAGTGATGACATTGGCAAGCTTATGTGCACATCTGTGGTTTGAAAGTGCTCTTGTACACCGTCCCTCTCTGATTCAGGTATCTGAGGGTTTTTCCACAATCTGTCATGACCTTTATATATTTTAACTGTGAGTTAATGCTTTGAGCAGGCTTGTGTCTTGGGGAGAAGGTCCTGAAGGATATCCCTATATTTTCTCTAACTGATCAAGCAGGCTGCCTTGAAGTAGGGGAGGCACACGCAGAGCCACTCTTCATTTACCCTACAGATGATTGCCAGGCAGAGGTTGTTTCTTCCATAACCTCTGCTGCCTCGCATCTGCACCACAGATGAGCTGAAAGGCCTGGTAAAGTGCTAACGCTCTGCTGCTTTTCACTCTAGAAGGCCAGAGACTCCTACATGGAGGAAAGGAAGCAACAACAGATGGAAAGGGATCAGGCTTATGTGACAAAGAAGCTGCAGCAGGAGGGTTTTGCATCCCATGGAGACTCTCAGCGTCGACGGACACTGTTGCAGAAATGCACCGCCATGCGGGAAGAGAGAATCCAGGGCTTCCTACAGGCACTAGAGCACAAGAGAGCGGACTTCTTTGAAAGATTGTGTACAGTGTCTGCATGACATAAGTGCTGGGTGGTTCTTGGGGAAGACAGTTTTTAATCATGTTAGAGAGAATATCTGCTGTCCCGAGGAATTCACTTGGTGTGGTTCTGCCGTGGGGATGCAGGGCTGCTACTGGACTTTACATCCCCACTGGCACTGTCCAAGGGCAGGGACAGAGTACTGTGAACCTTCCTAATTCTGTGAATGCTGCTGAGGAAAGTAATGCCGTCCTTCTGTCTTGCCTCCCTGCCCCAAGTGATAGAGGGAGAATACCCGCACCCCGCTGTATCTCCGCTGCTTGGTATTTCAGAGGCCTGGTGGTTTTGTGACAAGTTAACTAAAATGAGCCTCACATTCTGTTAGGCTCCTCATGAATTGGCCCAGGCAATCAATTTCAGTCATGTTAAATCAGCCTGGGCTTGAATTCTTTGCAGTAGCGAATCTTCCTGTGAGATTTCCTCTGCTGTCCCATCCAATTTCCTTTCTGAAGAGAGAGGATTATTCCTGGTGTATAAGGGAGCCCTGTGCCAAGCACTGGTAGAGATATTTCCCCCTGCCTACTTCAGGCATCTTGCCTTTTCCTCACCTTATTATGCTGGTTTTGATTTATCTGCTCTTGGCTTCCAAAAAGCTAAAGCGAGGTGTTGTCAGCCTTGCCATGAAGGAACAAGGATGCTCCAGAGCTCCGTCAAGTGCCTGTGATCCCTTTTCAGCAGTGCTGGGGGGAACCCAAATACTGGCTTCCAAACCCGGCTGGAGCAGACCGGACTATGCTGAGGGAAAGAGGAGGGGGAGGGTCCAAAGAGGCAAAGAAAAACAATTGTTTGGGAATTAACCTCATGGCTTAAAAAGGAAAAGAAGTTAGCTTAAACCAGGGGATGGATGCCGTATGCCAAATCCCTCTGAGACCTCTAGGGGCTGTGACTTAACATCCACCATCCGCTTCTGGGGAATGAGGATGGGCTTAGTTTAGGAATACAGGAGCCAAAACCAGCCTCTGACCCCAGCCAAAATGATGCAGAAGTACTGTATAGCTGATTGTAATGGGAGTGGCCGGAGCAGCTGTGGAGTGTTACTTCTCAATTCTCTATTAGCAGGGAGATGGACTAAATAATTTCCAAGATTGTTTCTGTCTCTTAATTTTTCCTGGTTTCCGTCCCTACAATCAAAATAATAGGAAATGTCTTGCTTTTGTTACTGATGCACGTACGGGTGCAGCAGTATCAGCTATTGCTGTTTTTTAAAGTATTCTTTTTTTTAACCTCCAGGTGAAAATGAGAAAATGCAATTTTAAAAGACTTAAGTGCTGCGAACTCAGCATTTTGAATGTGATTGTGAAGAGGGTAACTACATTGTCAAACCGTGAATAAAGCATATTCATACCAAACTATTTAAAAAAAAAAAAGTGAACACTTAAAACTTGGTAGAGCTTCATGTCCTTAGGTGTAATGAAGTTGGCATCCAGGTCTAGCATATCATTTAACCTGTGACAGGCTCTTCATCTGGTTCCTGGGGGACTGGAAAAAAGGTGAAGGCTGTGTTCTCTTTGCAGTTGTGTGAGCAATGTGCTGGTATCCCGAGGCCTGGCTGAGTGGAGCTGTGTGCACGTACGTCCTCTTCTGTAAGTAAGCAAACAGTAGCATGGGTGAAGGGAGCCAAGATGAAGGGAGCTGTCAACTTCTGCTCTATCTTATTTTGTCTGTCTGCACATTTGGGGAAGTTCTCTGTGGAAATATTTCCTGTTCTCCATGAGATGAGCACTCTCCTGTCTGCTTTGTCAGGCAGATACAGGGAGACTGGTGCTACCCAAGGATGCACTTTTGCCTTTAAAAACCAAGTTTTCAGTTGTGTTCTGATGCTATGGGTGACCAAAGCTGCAGTGGTGGCTTTCCAAAAAGGGGTACAACTGTTGCAGGTGTGGTAACTGAAGGCTAGGAGTTACAGAAGGCTTGCAGGGAAAGTTTTAATACCTTTCTAAAAGCCTTTTGCTGTTGGGGAGGGAGGGAAGAGGGTGTCAGTTCATCAAGCAGTGGAAAAAGGCTTGTTACCTCTGAGTTTGATTCCCCCTGCATCAGTTATTCTAGTGAAATACAAACTTTCCCTCTGAACCTCGCTTCCTTAGAGGTTGTGGTAAGTTACAAAGGCAAACCGAGTTTTCAGGAGTGCAGCTTCCCAGTCAGTCCTTAAATGACAGTTGTGGAATGAGCTACAGGCTGCTCGCAGTGAGAATTCAGCCTCCTAATTCGTGTTTATATGGTGAGGGTGTTGTAAATCAGCACAGCTGGGGGAATGCGCTCGTGTGTGTGAGGTCTGGAAACAGCCTGAGAGCTTACCTGGTGGGGAAGGGGGAGCGCACTTGTCAAGCCGCTCTTCTGGATGAGATTCAATTAAAGGTGAGAAGCTGGGGCAGGACTGAGGGGAATATTTTGTAATTGGCTTTGTAGCAAATGTTTGGTGCCTGTGTGAGGAAGGGCTCCGGGGGGGGGGAGCCCAGCTTTGTGGCTCCCTCAGGGCAAGCAGCAGGCACCAACTTCCCCCACCTGTGCTTAGTGGGCAATGTCCTGCTATTTCCATTTTATTTTTTGCTTTATCCTCCTTTTCTTCAGCTTTGGCTGCAACTCTCCCCTCCTTTTATTTTTATTATTATTTTTTTTGTTTTTCACAGGAAAAGAGGAGTGCTAACGCCCATTTTCCAGCTGGGCAGCGGGGTGGCGGCAGCGGAGGAAGAGGAGGAGGAGGGGGAGGAAGAAGAGGAGGATGAGGATGAGGAGGATGAAGACGAAGAGGCCGTGGAGGTGCTGAAGAACAGCTCCCCTCACCTGCACACGGAGCCAGGAGGGGGGGGGGGGAGCCCCTTTTCCCCACATCACCCCCCCCCACCCACACACACACAAACCCTGTTGCGTCGCTGCAGTTCCGAGCCCTCCCCCCCTTCCACATTTATTTATTTATTATGATTTTGTTCCACCGCCCCCTCCCCAGGGCCCTTCCCGCTCTCGGGGGCCGGGCGCGGGGGCAGGCGGCGGCCGTGAGGGGAGGGAAAGGAGGGGGGGGGGCTGTGAGAGGGGGGGCTCGAGGCCCAGTTGCGCGCGCGCCGCCTCAGCGGCTCCCTCCCCTGGCGGCCCCCCCCCCCCCCCACTCCCCTCCCCATCGCTCCCAGCCACGTGACCCTTGCTGGCCAATGAGCGGGCGGGGCGGCGGGGATCCGGCTGGAACCGGTTGGGCCGCGTCCGGCTCTATATAAAACTTTATAAACACCCGATTCAAATTAGTGGGGTCGGCAGCCAGCGGAGCGAGCCGGGAGGCAGCCCCGCCGCCCTCCCTCCCTCCCGCCTGCTTTCCTCTGCCTGCCCTCCGCGCCGCCGGCCTCTCCCCGCTTTCCCCCCCCTCCCCCGCTCTCCTCCTCCTCCTCCTCCTCACCGCCGCCGCCCCGGCCCGAGCGAGCCCGGCTCCCCCCTCACACACACCCCCCCCTTCCTCACTCCTCCGCCTCCTCCTCCTCCCTCCGCCCCCTCACGCCGCCCAGCGCGCTCCTCTCGCTCGCTCTCCCCTCACACACACACACACACACACACACACAAAACACACGCCGCCCGGAGCCATGCCGAAGAGAAAGGTACGTGGCACCGGGACCCTTTCCCTTTTCCTTCCCCCCCCCCACCTCACACCGGGGGCCTCCCCTCCTTCCCTCCCCACACACACACACACACACACCGGAGGGGGGGGGTGGCGGTGAGGGGTTGGGGGGGGGCAGTTTGAGGCGCGTAGTCCCGCCCCCCCCTCCCTTCGGGGCGGTAACGGCTGCGAGGCGGCGCGCGCGAGCGGAGGCCCCGGCGGGCGCTGAGGGAAAGGAGGAGGAGGAGGAGGAGGAAGGGGGGGGGGGAGAAAAAGGAGGGGGGGGGCGGGGCGGCGGGACCGTTGCCGGCCGCGCGCGCGCTCGCTGTAACGGCTGAGGGGAGGGGAGGGGCGCGAGCGCGCGCAGCCGGTCCGATCCGGCTGGTTTTGGCGGGAAGGGGGGGCCTGAGGGGAAAAAAAGGGGGGGGAGGAAGGAGGAGGAGGAGGATGGAGGATGGGGGGGGTAGGGGGGGAGCCGCTTTCCCTCCCCTCAGAGGAGCGCGGAGGGCGGGAAGGGGCTTTGCCGCCAAAACCCGTGAGGGGAGGGGAAGGGGGGGGGAGCGGGGCCTCGCTGAGGGGGCGGCTCGGCCCCCGCCTCCTGCTGGTGGAGGGGAGGGGGGGCCGCCGAGTTTCCGCCTCAGTTCGGCTTAAAGGGAGCCCCCCCCAGCCTGTTAGGGGCTACGAGGAGGCCCCAAATCCTAGGGAGAGCCCCCAGGGTTAGGCAGCCCCCCTTTCCCCCCCTCCAGCCCCGCAGCCGTTAGGAGCGAGCGCGCCCCTGTTAACTTGTTGCCTCCGCTTCTCTTTCACGCTCTAGGCTGAAGGAGATACCAAGGGCGATAAGGCCAAAGTTAAGGATGAGGTAAGAAGTTGGGTGTTTTTCGCCGAAGTTGGGTTGTGAAGTGTTGGAAGGCAAGGTTCAGCCCGATTGTCAGAAAGATCCTCGAGGAGACGGGGATTGCTCCCAATCCATAGCGGCCCTTCCAAGTGTTAGCTGCCTCTTCTGGGCTGAAGCATGAAAAAACTATTTAACTATTGTTAGTTATTATTAGGAGCGGTGTAAACAGGATATTCTCGTGCTCCTTGAGAAAGGGAAAAAAAAAAGTGAACTAAAAACTTAGAAATTGCTCCTGGGATTTTATTACTTTGAGATGAGACTGTGTGTGTTTTGATAGTTTACATTTCATGACGTTAAATTAAATAATTTCTCTTTTCAAACAGCCACAACGGAGATCGGCGAGGTTATCTGCTGTGAGTATTCTCGTGCTGAGCAGAGATGTCACAACATTTAATAGCTTTAGGCTCGAGTATTAAATGCTGCATCTGTGTGAGAACTGTAGGTATTCTGGAGAGACGCATTGTTCAGCTGAAAGAAAGTTATTAGCTTAACAAACTGCCCCATTGTGTAGTGTTATGGGAGTGGCTGAGCAACTGACAAATCAAGTAAGTGCTTCGATTTCAAATGTTTCAATTTGCTTTCCTAAAAATAAACCATCTGGGGTTGAACAGTAAAAAGAAATGCTTCTTTAAAAATAATTTTAATAATACAAGGGTCTTTTTTTACTTAACAGAAACCCGCCCCTCCGAAGCCAGAGCCTAAACCTAAAAAGGCAGCTCCAAAGGTGAGTTGAGTTAGAGCTGTTATCGAGAGAAAAATAGGTTACGAGGTTTGGATTTGTCTGTTGACAGAACTTCGAAGCGTAATCTAGTCCTGAAATCCAGCTGCATCGTCGCTTCTATAAAGTTGCAGTGAAAACTTCTGTATTTTGCAAAACTTGAATAAAAAAATACCAAAGAGTGATTAAATACAAGAAGACCCTTCTCAGTTGGTGTCGATCTCTTGAATACATGAACACTTGTGTGTTGCGTTCTTTTCAGGCCGACATCCAATGTTGATTTTACCATGCTAGATTTTGGATTCCTGTGGCTTAGTGAGTGGATGTTGGTAATTGTAATGGTGTGTGTCATCTTGTGTTTGACAGAAGAGCGAGAAGTTGCCCAAGGGAAAGAAGGGGAAAGCTGATGCTGGCAAGGAGGGAAACAACCCTGCAGAAAACGGAGATGCCAAAACAGACCAGGTATAACAGCAGGTCTAGCAGCTTGAGTTACAGCAGCAAATTATTTTTTTCCCTATCAAACAAAGGCAGGTCTAGGCTTGTGTTAATGAAGGTGAATTACTGCTTGAGTATTTAGACCTGTCGCTTGTGACATTAACAGTACGTCCATGGATGCAGGGGGCTGTGTTGCCCAGTTGGTAATGAGTTAATGCTTTCTGTTCGCTAGTTGAAGTTGCTGTAGGAAAAGTTACTCTTCTGCCTTGTTCTAAAATCGCATAAAGTTAGTACTTCATAAAGCAACTCCAGGTTGCCTTTTGCACTACTTTGAATGTTAGATTTCATTCTGCTAAGAATTACAGTGGTACGGCCCAGATAGATTTCTTCTGTTCAGAGAAATGTTACTCAGGAAAAAGAATGTTGTTTGGTGCAAGTGTGTGGTGTGTATTGACCAGTTCCCCCTTTTTCTTTTAGGCACAGAAAGCCGAAGGTGCTGGTGATGCCAAGTAAAATGTGTGAATTTTTGATAACTGTGTACTTCTGGTGACTGTACAGTTTGAAATACTATTTTTTATCAAGTTTTATAACAATGCAGAATTTTGTTTTACTTTTTTTTAAGCTATGTTGTTAGCACACAGACCGCTTCGTTGTTGTGTTTTGAGGGGGGGGGCAGTGGGGACAAATGTCACTTAGTCTATTTCTTGGAACCTAAATTTTAAAAGTAAAAGTTTACCCCCTCCCCAGTTTTTGGAAGAAGGGCTCTTCCTGAATAAAGGGGGAAGGGTTTCCTTAATGCTGCACGTCTGTTTCGTGAAGTGCATCAGAGTGAACGTTGAAGCTCCCAAGACGCCTGTTGCCAACTTCCAACTGCAGTTTGTATTGCCCTCTGTGTTCCCTTTCGTGTCCTCAGTTTTTGCCTAGAGCCTATCACTCCGAAATACAGCAAAAACGGCATTTTGGGACTTGCCACTCTAAATGCATTGTCAGGTGATCCCGGACTTGTGGTGTCTAATTTGGGACATAATAGCTCTAAAAGGAGCTGCATTTCCTCTTTTATATTGTGGATCTTCAGATTAAGAAATCTGCAGTTTTAATTTTTCTCAAAGTCAGGGTAGATTTGTGAAGAGTTGTTAAACAACATGCTAAATGTGAAAGTGTCCACCCTCACTCTAAACTTTTCCCTCTACAAGTATGAAATGAAGATTCTTCGGTTTTATAGCAACTTTTACGTTTGGGTAGTCCATGAAGGGAGGGGAGTTTGACAGTTGTTGTAAAATGTTGCAGATTGTAGCCCATGTCCTGCCTAAATTACCATGATTGTTTATGAAAAGTACCTTTAATAAAGCTGGATACGGTTTGGCTTGGACTGTTCTTAATGCCTTTCTAATTCCTCTTGCCATTATTTCATCTCTGATGTGGTTAAAACACTTTGTTTTAAGCATCTGAGTTCAGATAATTAATGCATTGCTAATTCCCAAGTGAAAAGCAAGATTTCTGTACCTAAAAGTTAGGTAAGGTAACTTCACTGCAGACTGGTTGGAAGGTCTTGACTTCATGGGAGGCCCAAAATGGAGCGTGTAAGTGAATCTCCTGAGATAATTTATCTTTGTTATCGCTTAAAAAGCAGTGGCTATCGTGTCGTAACTACACAAAAGGGGGAAGAACACAGCAATCTTTCAGTTGCTGCAGAGAAAAAATAAATTTTGGTATGGCTTTCTTTGTAGTGAAACCAGAACTAGTTCCATAAAACTGATTGTGTTAGATTTGCTTGAATATTGTTGCTTCTGCTAATCAAATACAGACTTTGCTGTGGTGTAGTGACTAAGCAGGAAACAAGATTTGTTGAGTAAAAATGCAGCATTTTTATAGTCACTGCTTACACCCTAGAACAGAGCCAAACCAAAAGCCCTAACGTGTAAATGTCTCCTTCAGTAACTTTATGAGATGGAATATTTCTTCCATCTCTACTTGGCCTTTCCTGGGACTTCAGTGTCTGTTCTTGGTTAAGTGCAGTGACCTGTTGCAACCTGTGCTGTTCAGAGGGAATCCAACAGCACCAGGGAGGAGTATTCTGCATCTAGAATGCTAGAGGTATTCTAGAGCACGGAACAGATCCAAATGTCCCAGTAAGAACTATCTTTCCACCTTGTGTTATCATAGCTGAGAAGTCTTACATTTGCCCTCACAAAGATAGGAGAAGTAGTGAGCTTGAGTCACGTACGTACCCCACCCAGAAGCAGCAGTGTAGAAGTGGCCAACGTTTCTGATAACTGACTTGAGCAAGCAGTAGGATGCAGCTGCTGACAGGAGGCAGCTCCCCAGCAGCGGGAACAGGGAGAAAAAGGGGAGTAAAGAGGGGGACGTTCTCCAGGAGAAGCAGCCCTGGGACAAGTGAGTGGGGCTGTGGCGGTGGGGCCAAGTGGAAAGGAGCTCAAGGATTTACAAGAAGGGCACTTAGGGTGCTGTGACGTTGGTCTGCTCTGCTCGGCCATGTCCTCAGAAGAGGATCTGATGGCTTTAGGGAGAGTGTCTCACCTGCCTGAGAACTGACGGCAGGTTTGAAGTCTCCTGGATTTCCCAATTAGTGAATTTTTTAAAACTTGAGTGAGATGAGCATCGAGGTAGTGGAATGGTCTTGGACATCCACAAGCTGGATGGTGTTGGGAGCGATCTATGAGCAGTGAAATGGGTTTCACCCAATAATACTGTAATTATTATTACATTAAAGTAATAATGTGAGAGTGAAGAAATCTTGAAATACCCCACCTTGCTTTATGCTACTGGGCCTCTGCAAAGGGAGTGAGCAGTTCCAAGTGAGCTGGCTTTTAAGCAGGTTGCTGCTGGCTTGGTTGCCAACTGAAATGCTCCGAAACCAACCTTGTGGCTGGAAGGCCTCTTCATCCCACAGCTGAAAGATACACTGCTGCTAACAAAGTGTAGTTACAGATCTTATATTTTTGTCGAAGAACGTGCTCCTGAACTATTAATGTTTTCAATACTTAAAATTCTAAAATGTTTGCTGCTGTGTTGTGCGGGATGGCACAGGGTATTTCCACCAGCCAGAGGAAAATAATAATTCTCATGAGAACTGCTGTGTCAGTTACTCTGTAGTCATCCAGCCATGCCACCTTGACTGCTTCCCATTGAACGTCCAACCCTCATTACCTCTTGCATGTACTGAAAACTGTCTTCATGTCTGTGGCATGTGTGTAACTTCATGCTCAACACATTTTGGAAAGTATTGTCGCTTTAGTTTTTGCTACAAAGCTCTTTTATATTTTCCTTTATTCTGATCTGGAATCTAGCTGATCAGAATACCCGTCTCTCCCATAAGCAGAAATGTTGCTAGGGAAGTTTGAAACTCGCTGGATGATCTGCATCTCAGCTACAAGAGGGATCTGCCCGTCTCTTCTCTACGCAGCGACACGTATTTTTTGCTGCAAGATTTGAATCTATTGCTACATCTAAGGTGTTTCCCACTGGGCATGCCCTTGTGCTGAAGTTATTTTTTCTTTTTGGGCTTGACTTGACATGCAGGGCTCATCTATTTCTCCTTAAGCGAAATGTAAGGGATGCTAAAGACAGTAAATCCAACTAATTAGTTCTCTAAATTAAAAACTAAATAGCAGACAACTCTGTGCTGTAACCCATGCATGTTTAGTGGTTAGAAATAGCCACAAATCTGCATCTCCAGCTGCCAGAACGCCTTAAGCTAAAAATAAGTTTTTCTGTTAAATCATAACCATTTTACATGGAAAATTGTGTGTGTAATCTGGAAATGTGATTTATGCTACTGGGTACGTTAAAAAAAGCTGGTCTCTCAGGTGGTGTTTGCTTTAGCATGCATTTTGTGCTATTAGAAAGTTTGAGATTACAAACATTGGAGACTACTGGTGTGTTTCATGGAAACAGGTAACGTGAAAAAGCACCCAGTGATATACAGTTGAGAGTCACTATGTGATGTTTCAGTGATAAATAATGTGCTCTTCAGCAATATGTATTTTTTCCCCAAATTTCAAATCAGGCTGAGGATTTGAGCATTTAAAGCACTCCTCAGAACACACAAGAGTTTCCATATGCAGCAGACGACAAGGAAGGGCCATGGATTGTCTGGTTTACAAATAAGTTACTAAGTAGTACTGACAGAGCTCAGTTGTGCTGCTGGGCTTTGCTTAAGTTTCCTGTCTAGGATTTTTTCCCCTGTTGCAGCACAAATCCTCCTCTGTAGTTTGTCCACCATGCCTCAGTGCTTCTTAAATGTCTTGAGGGCCAACAATGAAATTTTGAAGGGTAAATAAGCTGGGATGCTGGCAGTTTCCAACTAGCTGTATCACTTCGTATTAGCTATGGTACATCTTGAAATCTGTGCGACGCTCAGGCAGGGTTGTGCTGGGCACATTGGATGTGGCCTGTTCTTAGAATAAGGTATGAAAGCTTTTCGTCTTTCTGCTAATTACCCGAGTTCTGAACACTCACTGTCAATTTGCATGATTCTTTTTTCTTGTTCTGCTTTCTGATACCTTTCCCACCTTCATTTTATCCATCCTCTTCCAGAAAAACTTGATTTGCACAAGTGATGCCCAGTGAAACGGGAGCCTGGTTCACTATGAAGGGCTGAGCCTGTTGCTTGGAGTTGCAGCTGCTTTCATGCAAAGGAGAACAGCCACATCCAGGATGCAGAAGGTCACCACTGACAACAGAAAGGCAAATGAGTAGGTTCAGTGTTTCCTTACAGGCCTTAGAGTAGTAGTTGTGTACCTCACTGGTTTAAATCCGTATAAAATCAGTGACTGTGCCCGTAAGTTTTTTCTCAGATTATGGCTTCAGCACAAAGTATCTGGGAAATAGGCCCAAATAAATATGCATGCTTGCATATTTATGTGATTTTATTTATATATGAAGTTATTTTATATAATTTATATATGCATATATATATATTAAATAAATATTTGCGTATTTGTTTTACACTTTGAATCTGAAGCTGCTTTTTGATTGTATAGGTAAGCTTGCAAAGAATGGCTCAGCTCTTAGTGGCACTAAAATATTTATCATGCTTCCAGTGGAGCCTGTGGGTGATTCTTGTTTTCTTAATGCCTCCACTTTTTGCTGGGATCTTAAGAACGTTTAGATTACTGAGACATGATAGAGCAAAGTGTCTGGACTTTTAAAGTAGTGTACTAAGTGACATTTAAATGTGAGTAAAAGTGTGAGCAAGTTGCAGACCAGCATGTCACCATAATTCTGCAGAAACACCTTTAGCCCAAACATATTTTCACTGTAAAGTGAAAGTGGATTTTGAGCTAAAAAAAGTATGAGAACCGAAGTAGATTGTGCTGGGAGGACTCCCAAGAAAGACAAACTCATGTCCCTGCCCCTCCCAGTGCAGTGCCCTTGGATTAACAGTTTTGAGTTTCAGGATAACGTACTCCTGCAGAAGTTTTCATCTTGCATTCACAGAGCTTAATTATATTTGGAAAAAGTGACGGTATACTCCTCGCATCAGCCAAGCCCTGCCATGGGTGGGTATGAAAAGGAACAAGGAAGGAAAGGAGACTAAATTTCGGTGAGTGCACACAGCGAATATTGAGTTGCAGGATCACTCACGTCAGAAGAATCAACTAGCTTGGTGGCACAGGGATTTCATTGTCCCTAAATCATCCCAGATACAGTAATACCATATCCAGGGATTAATATTTCTAACTATAATTTCTGAGAAATGGGTCCTTATCCTGCCGTTCATAAAGATGAAATGGAGCTATAGTTATGCAGACAATTTACAATGCACACCTGTCCTCATTTGCAAGGGATAGGAATGAGAACATGGCAAGCTGATCATGAGTAGAGTTTGACTGAGGCTGAGGAAATACCAAATAATAAAGCATTATTAAATTGAGGTTAGGGTGTTTTCTGATGTGAAAGACTTTTTTTTAAAACAAAACAAAAAAACCCTTGGCAATCTTTTTTTTTTTTTTTTTTTTTTTTTTACCATCTCCTTGAAATGGTAATTTTCAGGGTGCCAGATGATGTAGGGTGCGACAGAAGAAATAGCAACAGAATACATCAGGGAAAGCTTCCTGAATATGAAGTCTATTAAAATGCATTAATGCCTCCAAACAATATTTCGTTGCCTCAGGTGCTTAAAACCAGCCTGGAGAATGTACTAAGAAAACATGCTAGAAGGAGTGGTCCTACAGTGGCTTTAAATAACCCAGATGTGTAATATCACCTTTGCTCCACCTTCCAACCCACCTGCAGATACTGGAAGACTTTGCCTTTTTCTACCAGACACTTGAACCCCAAACTTTCTGGGTTTCCCCTTCTGAACAGCATATTTGGTAGTGGATTTTGTTTTATGTTACTCAGCTATCCCACTAAACTTACTTTTGGATTTTTAACGGGTTTCCCTCTGGGCGACAACTCTTTCCTGCTCTCCAGCTTTTCGGTTGCTGTTGCTATGTGGAGGTTAGTGTGTACAGCAATCGTGAAGCAAGAAGGGAGTTAGCCCAGAGAAGATTACTATTTAGTGTTTCACAATCGGGAGATTTTGTGTGCCTTTAGTCTAATGAAGTGGTATCTCTCTGCTTATTCTTGACGGAAAGAGGTGTTTTCTAAGTATAAGAACCAAATGCGTAATATTAGGGGGTCTTAGTCTAGTGTGAGGACTGATTGTAAACTTGGGTGACTAAATTACCTTTTCTAGTGGTTTCCTTCTTACTGGAGATAATAACAGAGATTGTTAACTATGCTTTGGGTATTTGGTGAATAGATTTTTTTGGACTGTAGCCTGGTTTGAAATGCCCAGGTTTCCCTGTCACAGCATGACCAAATTAGCTTCCTTGTTGGCAAGCTAACCAGAAATCCAGGAAGGAAAATTCCATTGATACTAAATTAATTTCTCTTGCGAAAATGCCCGTGGTTTCAAAAGTAAGCTGGATGTGAGGCACATTGGCAGGGGAGTGCTGAATTTGGCAATCTTGCCTCTCACATTCTTGCCCCAGCTCAGTGAACACAGGGATTTATGTAGTGCTGTTTGTTTCATTATCAAATGTTGATTAACAGCCTGTTCCTTCCCTTCACCACACGGTGGTACCAGGAAACACAGAATCAGTGCTTGGAAGCCAACAAATGGCTGGCAGTGTCCAAACGCATCACACACTGCCTGTTAACAAACCTGGGAGGCTGAAGTCTGGCTTATTACAATCCAACATGTTACTTCTTTTAGAAAGTGGGACAAGTTCTCTTCCACTATTCCCCATCGCTGTAGTGTTGTGCTGGCTTGGGAGACAACATTAGGCAACCAGTAATCACCTGAGCAGTGTAAGTCTCTGCACTGATTTCTGAAGTATCAATACAACCACAGTACATGAGCACTTTCCAGTTTTTGTTATGTTTTTGCTCAAAACCCACATGGTGCTCAATTCATTGCCAGTTTACAGGCCTACCTGACATCTCAGACAAAGCGTGTGTTACGGCAGATCTTTGAACTTAGGCTTCCCAAATTCTATTCTAGGAGTCACCGGACTGTTCGTTTTTTCCCTCGAGCAGTTAGTGCAGCTGGTATGACACATGTCCTGAAAAGCCTAAACTACTGCTGCTGTTATCCATCTCACCTGTCCTTAACTGGGGAAGGGATACTGTATCTTAAACCCAGATTTAAATAGCTATTGTATAAGCCTGGTCAATTTTAGGCTTGTTGGCACAAGCTACTTAGATCAGATTTGCTGAATCTTCAACCTGAGATGACAGTATTGTTCAAAGAAATAATACATCAACAAGCTTTCTGTACCTTTTGTCACGTCTCCTTTTGCATGCCAGTGTCTTGAGTATGTTTGCTTTTTGTCTTCAAGGTAAATGCAATCCAGGAAATAGAGTTGTAATACTTGTGCTAATTCGCAGTGTTCATTAAAAGCCTGACTAGAATGATCAGATTCTTCTGATGTTGTAAAGTTCAGTGCTCAGTTTGGTAGCCAGCAACCTTTCCCATCATTGCATTAACATTCTTGTCAAGTCTAGCAGCATGACAGCCTATAATATATATTGGGCTGAAGCAATACCACCATTTGTAGAAAGCTGTTTGTCCTTCACCTTGTACATTATGAAACACTTTAGTCATTGGGTTATCTCCTTCTAACACATGCTTTCGATGTTTACCCTTAGCAAGTAGCAGTGCCTGAAGTTGGAAAGGAAGTGGCTGCTTACAAGAGTTGGAGAGATCGCAGGTGAAGCACTTGACACATTAATGATACTTCCTTGAAGTGGATGCAAAATGGAAAGATGAGCTCCTGGTAAGCCAAACTTGTTCCTTTTCTTCAGCTCTCAGTACATGACTGGGGCAGGGATCACTGTGCCAGATGCATTTTTGGGATGAAGTGAGCAAAACATCACCCAGACTTACAGGGAGAAGACAGGGATTCTCAGTCACTGACAGGTATAGATGCCTTGCCATGAAGATACAGCACACATTGAAACCAATTGTTTCAGGGATGTTGGAGTGTGCACTGCGTTGGAAAACACAACATAGTTTTTATTCAAATGACCCTATTATATATGTACTGTCACCATTCCCTGCTAGTTCCTAGATAACAACCCTACAGTGATAATTCAGTGATGAGTGAAATGACCAGGCCAGAGTTCTTAGGTTGCATATAGAGCTTGCATTGTGTGTGTGTGTGACTCAGCCCAGAATTAGGGATGCCAATAGCCCCTTTTAGACCCTTTCTTCCTATCATTCATGGAGGTGGTCAGCTGCCTGAGTGAGTATACTAGATGGGCTGAAGTGTGTTGGCTTCAGCAAGCTTATACTATACAAAGGGCCTGGCTTGCACACATGAGTAATCAGATTGTTTAAGATAAAATGCCCCAAAGTCATCTCAAGGTCCTTCTCACATGCTGTGTGCTCGGCACTGGGTTTATGCATTCACTGCCTTTGTGCATCAGAGCAGTGAGAAATGCAATAGCTTTTTTTTCTGAACTCAAAGGTGCTGGGTTCCTGCCCGCTATGAAGAAATGGTGTCTGAACCCTGAGCAGGTAGTTCATTACACAACCAGACACGTATGAAGTCAGAATTGTGGCTTCTTTGCACTTTGTGTGCAGTTAACCCAGCAGCAGTTCTCATGCACAGCAGTTATGTAAGTCTCTGTGCAATACCGTGCTTTTCTCACAAGAGGGATTCTTCCCAGTATTGCCACCTCACCAACACTGGTTCTGCAGCTTTTTTGTCTTTTGGACACAGTTTCCATCTTACACTGGGAGGCAAATAACTAAATTTTCTTCATGACTGGTGCTAAGAACTGCGAGGCCACAAGGGGTAACTAACTGATACTCCAGATAGGCTGGTTTACTGGTTCCTGATCCACACTGATTCACTTTCTCACTTCACTGAACAATTTCTAAGGCCATAGTGATGAAATTTGAACTCATCTGCTTCTGTCTGTATCTACCTCTCCCAAAATGCTTCTGGCAGCAGGTGAGCTTATGCCAAAAGTGCCCTGGTGATGTTGTAAGGAGGGACATTTATCCATTGGTAATTGACTCCTGTATTAATTTCCAAGAATCTGGCAAGCAGCTGCCAAAAAACCTGTTTCCGTCTCTGCTGATCAATATTGCCTTTCAACAGGCATGTGGTATTACTGAGCGTTAGCTAATAGCGCTGTGTTTCTTGTACTGCTTGAAGAACTGTGACATGCTGCAATGTCTTTAGATTTCAGAGAGACTTTTCAGTTAAATAATGTTACATCAGATGTTATTTATTATCCATTTCCAACACACTGGCCTCATTTCCACCATATCGTATGCTGGGCTGCCGCCACAGGGCATTTATCTCTAACATCATGTTAGTAGCTTTTTAGGTTGAGGCAGAAAATGCTTCTGTGCAGATTTTAAATAGACAAATAAGGCAACAGGTCTGGCCAAGACTTTCAGAAACAAGGTTATGAGCAAATAATCTTTCTGATTTCCCACAGGAAAAGGGTGAAAGAAGTCTTTACCTACCTTGCAAGCCCTGTCTAAGTCTCGTTTTTGCCGTCATTGAAGTCAGCAGCAAAACTCAAACAGGCTTCCAGAGTTCGAACCTTTTAAAATGTTCACTGCCTGTGGCAAAACCTTTATTGATATAAAGCAGTGTGCACTGAAGCTTTTAGTTATCCCCACGGGGTGACAAAATACCTGTCTCTGAAGTTTTTACTCTGTAAAATGCTATTACTCAGTGGCTGGAGACGCACTTGTGAGCAAAGAACAGGAGAAGGTGGTGGGAGAATCGCACAGACTGCCCCACGGTGAGCTCTTTTGCCTTGGACGTGTTTTGAGCATCGTGTCTGAGTGTGACAGTCTAGAAGGCAGGTGTGGTGGTGCACTTTGAGAGCCTGACACATCCGTGGGCAGGGAGGAACTTGGTGGTGTGGCCCACCACTATTCCTGCTCCACTGGTATTTACTGGTGCAGCCTTCAGCTGTTCCAGGCAGCAAGGGGGTGGCTGCACAGCTCCCCATTCACGCTGCAGCTGCTCCTGGGTGCTGGAGGTTTATCTGCATTGAGCAGGTTTTGATATTTTTTTAATGTGCTTATTTTATGAATTCTTGAATATGAATGCTGGGATAGCCTTTATAGGGAAATGTAGGTTGTTTTCAGTGGTAAAACATCACCATCTGGGCAATACCACCCTCCTCTCTTTACAGTGACAGGGGAAAGGCACAGTCTCAGTGTAACAAAGAGATTGCTTTCGATCACATGGAAGGAAGCCCACAGAGTTTGAAGACAGAAAGATAAAAGTAAGCTTCTTGCTTTTGATCTTAGAAATTCTGAAATTATCTTTTCTGAGCAGTTCTGGAGAATGATGATGAAATGACAACCACACAAGAAATGACCGCTTAAATGGTCACTAGAGAATAATCCAGAAAAAGTAAGCCTTCCTTCATCAGTCAAAGTGTAAGACCTATGGGTAAGCTCGCTGAGACTGAGCCAGAAGATGCCCAGCTGGACACTGCTTAGATTTCTAATATAAAGCACAAGTACCTCTTTTGGAAAGACAAACGTCTAAAGAGCAGTCTCCAAACTCCCTTTACTCATCATGAAGGTGAACAGGAGAGAAGAGCGATTTAAAAAGCAGAAACAAAAAGTTCCCCCACGGTTAGCAAGTTCTGTTCTGCTCTCGAGTATTGATCCAGTCCCTGGGGAAGCAAAGAGGGAGTCTTCAATCTTTCAGCAACAAAGCACCAGCCTTGCATTTCTGCTCCATTTTATGGTGTGCTGAAAGACATGCAGTGCTGCAGAATGTCTCGGAGCATCATTAACTCCAGAATCTTCTTTTTTTTTTTTTAATGCTGATGAGGGACAAACAGGTTTTCTTTTGCCAGGTAATTGTCTTTCTGACATCACTGAACCTGTAGTGCCTTTTGTTCACTCCCCAACAAGGAAACCAGCGAGCATGGGGTAGATATATCTGCTACCTGTATATGCAAGCCAGCTGAGTCATATCTGTGCCGCTTTGCAGTTTTAATCAGGCTATCAAATGCAGAAAAGAAGCGTTAGAAGAAAAGTTGAAGACATCCATTTCTCCCCCAAGGTGATGAAGGCACCTTTTTAGAAAGTTTTGCTTTCATTATGTCTTCCTATGGAATACAATTGGTCATTATGCCAAAACATTCCCAGGCAAGATCACTTCTTATATTTTGGGAGTTTATTTCTCTATTTGTTTTTGTGATGTGGTTTTTCAAGTCTGGATGTGTGCAGCAATCTCTGTTTTGTAAGAGTACTAAGAAGTGAAATACTGACGGTTATGATTATATCAGTCTTGAACAAATTGGAAATAAAGTCTTTTTGTGTGTGTGCTTTTTTTTCCTCCATAAGAAAAATAGTTTACTTGGCTTGGAGTCTTTTGGCTTATCATCAGGATTTCTGAAAAGTACTTCCAATTTGGATTTATTATTTTTTTTTAACTTTGAATGATGGCATCCCAAACTGTGTAATGGGATAATTAGGAATGGGTATTTGTGTGTGCCCTCAGTTAAGCAGGATGAGACTTGTTCAATTGCATGATGTAGGCTTGAGACTGCGAAGAGTGGAATGACATTTTCCTCTAGCCGAAGCTGAGTTTCTGTTGAAATCTGTTTTTGTTTTCAGTTGCCAGATTTTCCTTCCCTGTCTGGAGAAACTGGGACCTGTGCACCTCTATCTGCTCTGTAAGTAGCACAAAACTGAGGGAATCTATTTGTATACACTTAAAAGAGCCCATCGCTTATTTACGAGTTCTTAAACCTAAAAGAATTATAAAACTGACTACTTACCACTATTGTTTACTCAGCTTTCTCCCTGGCTAGGGGACAATGAAAACAGGCCCGAGAGTTTCACTTCTGTTTACAGTTTCTAATAGCTTTCTCTTTCATGTTATCACTCCCTTGCATAGCACTACAATGAAATAAACTATAAACATATCTGTATGCTAATTAAAACCAAAATTTGCCAGGTAACTTGTTCTAAATAACTTACCACCTGGGCTGCAAACCTGCTTTAAAAATCTGCCTCTCTCACCCCCAAAATAGTGCATTTGCTTGTATCTTATATGATTTTTTGGTAAGTCTTTTTCAGTTGTAGTTGAAAACAAAACCTCCCATTTTCCTTTCAAACAGGGAACTGAAGTCGTTGGGACCTTAAGAGTTCTGCTCAGGTGTGTGTCTGCTGGTGCTACTGCGCTGAATTCTCTGAGCAGCAGAGCTAAGGAAAGTAGCAAGTGTGTGCGGCAGGCAAGTTCGCAGCAGCTTGTTATGAATCCAAAAGGCTGAGCCAGAGCAAAGGCTGAATGGGCTGTGAAAATAGCTCCTCTGAGGTCCTAGGAAGTATCTAAAGGCTACGACAGCACCGAATGCACTTGGTCAGAGTATTATCAGACTCACATAGTCTGAATACCAAAAAAGCAAGTCACCTTCCACTCTCCCCTTAGATAATGTTAAGAAGAGCTGTCTGCGTTTGAAACAGATTATTTTCTCCTTTTGTTTGGATGTTAAGGGTTCTGTTCTGCATAGAAACAGGAACAGACCTCCACTCATTTATTTGCATCCAGGAAACGGAAGGTAACTGATATCAGGGGAGACTGACAGAGTGATTGTATCCATGACAACCAGCAGATATGGCCTTGCTGCCTGGCAGCTCGTTCCCTGGTCGCCTTCCCAGGCCACGCTCTCAGCTCCGGTGGGTCCCTTTCCTCGAGGCACCTCTTGGCTGCAGTTGCATGTTCCTGCGAGATAGGTGCCAAATTCCCAGATGAAATGAGTTTCCTCAAGGCAACAGCTTAATCAATTCTTGTCTCCATTAGCAAAACTCTTCCCTGACTTGTGCTGCATGTGCTTCAGCCAAGGGCTCCCTGGGAGTCCCAGAGGAGGTTTTAGAAACTCTGGTCCATGGAGGAACTGCCTGATTTACAGTAAGAACACACAGGAACAGGGTGGACTCAGCAATTTGCAGAGCCAGCAGGCAAAATGCAATATGTAGGGCAAAAGAAAACAAAAGGTTTCAGATATGCCAGGCACCTTAATAAATGCAGGAATTGGTGAGCTGCGCAAGGTCATCTGATGCTCACCTTTGCTGGAAGTACTGGCAGAAGTTAAACATGTTTGTTCTCTGAATAGGCCTTCAGTCTGCACGTACCCCTTTCATGAGAATGAAGGAGAATGAAAGAGCTGCCTGGACTGTGATCCTCGAGGAAATCCTTATCCCACTGTCTGCTGTGGTGTATTTTCTGCATTCCAAATACTGCCTGGACCTGCCTTGGAAAACGCTGGCATTTGAGGCAGCTGCAGTTGCACGCAGTGGTAAGGAACGGAAAGAAGTCTGTCACAAAAGGAAAAAGCAATTCCACTGTTAAACCCAGCCAGAGTTCCTCATTTATAGGGCACCTGCTTTATATCTTAAGTGTGATGTTTGAACCACGCTAAGGAAAAATGTCTCCCCGGGATCAAAACAAGGTGATTTATCATCTCTTCCTTCATAGTGGAAAAACAAAGCAGAAGAGGCAAGGAAATGAGATCTTGAATCACAAGTTGAGGATTAGAAGACAGGACATGGAGTTCAAATTCTATCCTGATGACCTGCTGAAGCCGTGACTCAGTTTCCCTATTAGTAGTGGGGATAACAATGAACTGAGGAACTGATTAGTGAATCTTAAAAATACAAAGAAGGTTGCTGTAAGCTCTAATTAAACGACTGTCATAGTGTATACACAAAGCAGATTACACGAGCCTGTCTTTGGAAATTGTAGCAGGCATTTGGGACTCAGCTTGTGAGTTCTCATGCCTGCAATCTCTTTGCATTTCCTTATATGTTTAAAAGCGGCGTAGCATGAAGCATGAGGTTCAAGAAAGATGCTCCCTGGCTTCAGTAAAGAAAACGGATACGGTGAGCCATGGGAACGCTGTGTTGCTGTTGGGTTAGGTGGAGAATCACTTAGGCAGCTTTTAGCGTAACGAGGAGAACTCTGCCTCTTCAAAGCCTGATTGGATTTGGTAATGTGGATAAGCAGCCGTCTCGATACTTCCGCCGGGGAAGTGCTTCTTTGGGGATAACTGGCTTAACGAATGTTGTCAACCTCCCTGAAGAGGAAAATGTTACAAACCAAATGCCAGCCAGCTGCAGAGGCAAAAATATCTACAATTGTATTTGAGGAGGATTAGATTCTTTATTTCAAACCAAACCAAAACTGTAGCATTTTGAATTTTCAGCAAATTTCATACCGATGACAGGGCCAGCCAGTTGATCTGGAAGTCTCTGTTTACAATAACAGCAGCAGTCTGAACGGAAATGTAGAAATCATGCTATGAACTCTCTCCAGCCTGCAGCCCTCTCCAAAAAATGGCAGTATATACAGTTTTAATCACTGTATTTAGCCATGACACTTACCCAAACAGCAGGCTGTGCTGCTCAGCTCCAAAGCACATTATTTGTACCTTGCTTTCAGGACAGGGGCTGTTTTTTATAGCTATCCTTTGACTAGAAAATAAATACCTAGGGTAGACCACTACCTCATTTCACTTACCCAAGTGTCCTCCTTTGGACTTGCTAACAATCTAGTGTGACACATTTCATGTTCTGTTAATCTCCTGCACTAGGCAACACTGAATCACAATTACTGAAGGAAGGTCAGTCTGATAATAGATAGCATTGCTTCTGTTTGAGCCCTGTAGATGGGGATTGAGAGACCTTTAGATTGTCTACCCAGCACTGCTGCTGAATTGCTGTGCTATTATCAAGTCTTTTCGGGGGGGTTGTATAATTTTGAGGATACTGTAGAGCTACCTCAGCAAAACTCTCTCCTAGCCTTTAACAAAAGTAGCTGCGCAGATGCAGGACATAGTCATGCATAAATCATTTGTAGTCTCTCCAATATATGTAACTTGCTGTTTTATTAAAGAATTGGCAAGATAATTTGAGAATTTTGTTTAGGTGCAGTGGCACCCATGGGCGCAGAGCTGTTCTTTTCTTTGAGCCTAAAGAAGTCGTTGCTCCATAAAGCTTCATAATTTCTGTCTTTTGTCAAGCTCACGGTCAGCCTGCCTGTCATTCTGCTGTGAAATATGAAGGACTTTCTGCATCTCAATAGACGTACAGGGGGGTGGAAGCAGCAGTTAGGTTCCTTTTTCCCTTCCCTTACTGAATTCCAATAGGTCTTGCTCTGCCCACAAACTGTTCTTCTGCATGTTGTCCACCAACCTTTCATTGTGACCTTGAAAATTAAGACTCGCTTTTCTACCAGCTACCATACCACCCTGTAAGTGCCAAGGTTCCTTCCAGTTTTCAGCACTTCACAAGGAATTTTTTATGTTTAGCATTTTTAATTTGTTGTTGTTTACAGTAACAGTCATGACCTTGGGGTCAGAAACTTCTCAGGAGTTAATGACCAACTTGACTAAGATCACCCCCTCGGCTGCTGCAGATAACCTGCTCAGCACCCGATCTTACCTGACCTGCAGGCACAAACCTGTCTTTGAAGCTGGGAGACGTTTTGTGGGTCACCTGTTGGGAAATGTCCTTTGTGCCTGTCCTTATGGCTTACCTGCCCCGCGTGGGTCTGCCACCCGGGTGGGAAGCTCCAAGAGCAGCAGAATGTCACCCAAGGGTCACATTCATGGAGCCTGGCATTGAGGCACGGCAGGTCACAGAGAGCAGTGTCTCATTTTGTTCTCCTTACAGAAAACATCGAGAGAACCCTTTGCTACACACACTTCTCTTCATGTTCCCACCGCAGACCTGTTCAACATGCACGCAGAGCAGATAGAAATCCAGAAAGGGAGATGCATTTTGCAATTAAATGTAGAAGGTAAGTGGGACTGCCAGTATTGACATCATCGTGTTATTGATGCCATTTAAAACAGGTTCCAATCTGCAGCAGCTGGAGGATGGATGTAACCAGACAGCACACCGTGTCCCAGGCAATACGGGGAAATTACGGACAGCTTTGGAGCTGAATGAATAACTCTCCACGAGATCTGCTTCAGCTTGCACCAAAAGTAAGTGATGTGAGTTTAATTGGCTGTAACAGGGCCTGGTGGGTTTGTGTTACTGAACACCTTCATCTGGGACTCCAACACGGAGGGCACAGAGGGTGCTCTGCTCACAGGACTGGGAGGCAGCAGGTTCCCAGGCTTGGCTCAAACACTTTCTGTCACCCTGGGAAATTTTTACACATGATTCCCCCATATGCGAACAGATAACAGCCGAAACCACAGGCAGGTCCTGATGATGATTTACAGATTAGCTAAAGTGTTGTGAAGATTAACTGGAATTTTTCAGTGTTGTGCTCTGCCCTAATTGAGCTTTTTCTGAGTTCACTGCCCTCCCTGAACAGATTACAGGTTTAGGACTGTGCAGTGCTGGCTTCTTGGGACAGATGCCTGCAGAATGCAAAACCTGAGCTGTATGTGCTTTCACTTGGGCTCATTAAATGGTATTTCCAGCCACACCTTGATGAGGTCAACTCTTAGTGATGCACCCTTTCTAAAAGATTTTTTTATAACATTTCTGTAGCGAAACAAGAAAACACGATGCCCTGGGTTTTGGTAACTTTTTCCTGTGTGAGAAGCCTGGCAAAGCAGAACAGCGATTGTACACGAGCACTTGTGCTTAAGGCTCCTTTCCTTTGAGGATCTCCAGACAGTGTAGAAAGGTGGATGTGGGTGTTTTTAATCTGTTTTGCCAGGAACAGAAAGGGGAGAAGGGCCCTACAAGCAGCAGTGAGCAGTGACTCCCTGCTGCATTTCAAACCTAAAATACAGATTTCCTAGAGACGTTTCCTGCTTTAAACAGAAATACAGATCATCTCTTACTGAGTTTACCCTCACAGCCTCTTCCTTGGGTAACGCCGTGTAGCACTGTGTGTACAGTGAGCCGGCTGCTGACTTCTGCAGCTCTAAAAACGAAGGATCCTTCCAGGACACAGCAGAGCTGGACGCTCAGGGCAGTGTACCTTGCAGCAGGTCTGCTGTTCGGGTGCCTTGGAGGATCTCCTCCCTAGCCAGTGCCTCACCACCACCTCCAACATCCCTTATGCCTACCGGGCACATCCCAAATTTACCAGCCCCCAAACCCTCCTCGCCTGGGGCACCTGCCCGGAGCCCTCCCGCAACTTCACCCCCCGATCCCCGGCAGCCCCCAGCCTCCCCCTTCCCCAAGCAGCCCCGGAGCCGTGCGGGCGGAGCGGCGCCGCCTTCCCCCGGCTCCCCCCCGGCCCGCCCCGCCCCGGCCCGCCCCGCCGCTCCCGGCCCGGCCCGGGGAGCCGGTGCCCAACGCGGGGCTCCGAGCCGAGCCGTGCCGAGCCGTGCCGAGCCCTGCGGGGCAATCCCAGCCCGCCGGCAGCATGCCGCTCGCCCAGCTGGCCGAGCCCTGGCCCAACATGGAGCTGGTGCATCTGGACACGGAGGTGAGCGGGGCACCGGCCCTTCCCGGGGGGGCAGCGCCGCCCCCCCCCCACCCAGGGGGGCTCCGCGGAACAAAGGAGCGCCCGGCCGGCCTCCCTTTTCCCTTCCTTCCCTTCCTCCTTCTTTCCTTCCTCTCCTTTTTTCCTTCCTTCCCTCCGCTCCTGCCCCGCCGCTGCCCAGCCCCGCGGAGCCTCCCCGCGCGTTTCCCCGGAGGGCTGCGGGCAGGGCTGGGGGCTGGCTCCCGGCTCGGATCCGGGGGGGGCTGGAGAGTGGCGAGAGCTGCTCCGGCTGCTCCCAGCCAAAGGGCTCAGCCTGCACGGCCCCGGGGCTGGGAGCGCCGGGGGCTTCATGGCTCCGCTGCTCGCCTTGCAAGGAACGATGAGTAACGTGTGAGTAGCGTGCACCTCTCTGCCCACCCAAACACAGGGGAAGGCTGGCCCTGCTGAAGGCCCCGGGAATAAATGCCTCTGATTTGGGGTTTTTCTCCTTAAGGTTTCCTTGCTGTCTGTCTGCCTAGAGCCAGCTGTCCTGGCAGGCCCGGGTGGCAGGTTTGGGGTACCCAGGCATGGCTCTGTTTTACTTTGCTGGATGTGTGCGCTCCCCTCTTGCTTTGCTCTTTGCCTTTAATGAAAGCTTCCAGCCCAGATGTGCAGGACGGTGCACAGCATCTGCCCACATCTGCAGCCTTG